GAGAGAGAGAGAGAGAGATTAAGATGTGAAGATGGAGAATGTGCCCCCACGGCTAGTTTAGATAACATTAAGGTTAGGTTTTCTAGGGTTAAGGTTTTACCATCATTATGAGACTTAATCTTGATCTTCGATCATGGAGACCTATGGGGTGAAGAGATTTCATTCATTCATTCATTAAATCAGTCATCATGATTAAAAGGAATGAGGTGAAACCGTTATCTCTCGGTTTCCATAAGTCTATTCCCATCAAATATTATGTAGAGAAAATACTAAATCAAATTTAATAAATCTCTTACGTTTTTCCCTTTTGAAATCAATCAAAATCTGTACACCCAACTCTTTCCTAAACCATTCAAATCAATTGCATTCTTTATGACACAAGGCATAAAATAGGAAAAAGAAGAATAAGGAGATGGGGAGCACTACCCTATGGGTGGCCATGTGGGCCCCACACCCCACTAATTGGTGGGCCCATTGAATCCCAATGGCCCCCCAATATTTTAAATATAATTTAATGATATTAAAATAATTTTATAATGTTATCAAAGATTTATTTCTCTTTGATTAAAATAAAACAAGAAAAAATGATTTTCTTTATTTAAAAATATTTTTCAATCTAAAAATTCATTTTAATTATCTGAAAAATAATTAAAATATATTTAAACATATCTAGGAAGATTTAATGGGAATTGGATCCATAGAGTTTGGATTACAACAAATATACTGAGGACTCCATTCTTTCTAGAGATCGTATCTCACTGCACATTCTCAAACTGGTCCAATAGTTCCTATGACCCACAACCCTTCGCAGGAGTTCATGATTGATCTATCAAAGTTAGCCAATTAAATGAAGGACACACGATCCTAGTCCATGGATTACTGGTCCCTCCTTGAGGACAAGTCTAGGCCCCATTCTAGCACTATTCTCCATAGGTCATTCTAACATAGTCCAATGTTGCAGGGAGTCATCTCTTCGACACATGTACACAAAACATACCCTTATCCAATCCCTGGATGACTATCTAGTGTACATACCTTGTGATGGTAATGATGAGGATTTAGGCCTTTGTCCTCTCAAGCCAACCATCACACACAAGGGCCACATCCAGTTCTCCTGGCCAACTGCCCTAGGCACAACTCCGATCTCATCAAGGGGTAACCCCACATCGAAACCCTTATCAATTGGGCTTACAGGCCCAGAGTTACGGGTTTTAGACCTTATTTTGAGCCATAGCCAATCAAAGCTCGGGTCAGTCTTGACATTAGCAATGCCTCACAGTCCAATGTGGACCACACTCCCATTGGAGGTACCATGCCACTATAATAATTTCAGTACATACTCTCATAAATCCTTTAAATGGCCACATAACCCCAACATCTTATCCTATTGTGTGAATTGCATTCTGCAGTAAATTTATTTGTTTCTTTTTGCTTCGCTTTCTATAAAGACATAGGTCTCCAATGGAATAGTTCAAGGAAAGTACATGGATATAATAATATGCTTCCCCCCCCCCTACCCCCTTTTGATTTAGTGAGTATCCTCTGATGATTGCCTTGATTGTCTTCTCCAATAACTTAGCTGTATGAATTCTTATCTTCTATAAACAAGATCCTTGCAGCCTTTTTCTTTCTTTTTTTGCCTGTAGCTTGAAGTCCCGTTATTGTGTATATTTTTGAACGAGAAAGTATATTATAAGCTTGTTTACCTTTGATATAAGAAGGTTACAATCATAGTTAGCAAGTCTCTGTTCAAAACCCGATTTTTTTCAAAAAATCTTTGATTTTTTTAATCTATAAAGAACTCGGAGTTTTTCAAAATATCTTTAAAAAATCGTGTTTTTTTAATGGAACTGATATGAATTCTTATTTTATTGTTTTTCAAAGGACTTTTCAAAAAAACTTCTTCCCTATAACTTTATTTCTTCATTAACTTAATATTATTGATTTTTGGTTTAAAGATAGGAACATTAACAACGGGAACAAATTAAGAATCGTAATTTAAGAAAACGTTCCATCTAAAATTTCACCAATGAGTTCCCTTAAAAAAAGTGTATGAAAAAATATAACCAATAGATTCCCCCCCAAAAAATGACCAAAACAATCGTATATCTCAAATAACAGTTAGAATTAGAAGAAGGGTAATCCAATATAAAAATTATTTTTTCTTTAAACCCATATCGTCCTTATAAAGAGCAAGAGAGAGATTCAATGATACTAAAGATTTAGGTAGCTAGGAATGTAGTGCGAGATTTGAATTTGCTAAAGCATTTTGTTGCTTTTTATGCATAGAGAAGTTTGATTAATTTTATATTTTATTTTTTATTTCATTTGTGTAGACAACATATCATTTTGGATGGACCACTATTTTACATATTTGGGTCTTCGCATTTTTTTAATTAGTCTCAATCCTATATTGAGGGCATTTTTTGTTTTTTTTTCTTTGAAAAGTAACCCTATACCTTAGTTCACAATTCGTGTTATTTGCTAATTAGTTCTTATGTTTAGCATTCTTATTGTTGTTTCATTTTATGCTTCCAATAAATCTACAATATGTTTTATGTTGTGACAACAAAGTAATCATTGTTGCTGGATTTATGGGAAGTTTCAACAAAAAATTGTCAAGTATTTTTCTAAGGAGACTAGTAAGGATATAAATTTATTATTTAGTGGCTTTAATATACCTATACAATAACTGCAAATTATAATCCTATATTGTGTCGTCTTTATATATCTGATTTTTTCTCAGTCTTTTTTAACCAAATATGAAATATTCCCGATTCTATAGCTTACCTTTTTTTTGGTGATCCATATGTTTTATCTGCTTTTTTTCCTTTTGACTTTTTGAAATAAAACTGATTTATTATCGAAGTTTTGGTATGCCGATATTTTATCATTCCCCGACTTGCTAACTATGGTTACAATTATCCTTCGCTGTCAGTTGTGAAAAGTGTATCATTGTCCGTGCTCAATGTTCAAGAAATTTTTTCTTGAACACTGTGACTTACCCTTAGCCACAAGATCTTACATCTAACGGCTAGGGTTGATTGTGACCTTGTACTAAAAGTAAATGGTCTTATAATATATAATCCTTTTTGAGTAACTCCTTCACACATGACATCTCTTTAAAATTTATTACATCTTCTATATATTTTTCTTGCAAACATTCTGAGCTTTCTTATAAGGACTTTGGTTGCAGCGATGGGTATATTTATTTGTTATCTTCTTGTAGTAATTGTATTGCAATTCCTCTTCATGTTTTGAGATTGCTAACTTGGGCTACACTGTGATTATTTACTTGCAGGCATTCCATAGAAATGGAATCCATCCTCTACAGGAAGAGTACAACCTGATGGAATGGACTTTCAACCATACCCCTCGTGTATGCTGTTTAAGAGTCTTGTACATTTTTGGAAGCCCCTCACAGTAGTATTGTTAGATGGCTATTATTCAGATATCCCATGGTCTCCATGCTTGGTATATTTGATTTGCAGTGTTAGAAAATAAATTCTATAGACTAAAGGAAATAATAAATATATTGTTACCCCATAAAAATACGACTAAGCAGATTATTTCTGCACTTAAGTACAAGTACTGCTAAAGTGACTTCTTTTCAGAGGACCTTAGCATTTAACTCTCACATGTTATGCAAGTGAAATTTCCATTCATGCTTCATAAGTTCATATTGAGTTCTTCCTACTCATTTTCACTCTTTTCATTGTGAGATCAGTTTATCAAAAAACAAAGCATATAGTTTGAATCTATTATATCACTTCACTGCCAGCTCATCTTATTGCATATCTAGTCAAAGAATGGCATGGACTACCTCACTTTCTGATTTGCATATTTGATTTATCCATTCTTTGACTACTTCATTTTCTGAGTTGCATATTTGATTTATGTTTGGCATTATTAACCACTGAAATCTTGCAGAGAACTTCTCTATCAACTTTCTTTTTTGCTTGTGTTTTCCTATCAACATGCTGGCTTTTTGTTTTCTCTAGTCCTGCTGGCTCACACTACGAGTACAATATAAGTTTGTCAATTAATTAGTCAAATGCAAAGAACCCAATTACTAGAAAATTTCTATTGATTTTATAGAATTTTCAAATGGAAGTAATATAACTTAGTGCATGCATTTCTGGTAGTGCTTTCTGACTCAGTGGCCGTGGTGTTTCTTTTGTCCTTATATAATATTAACCAAAGCAGTCTTGGTACCCATATGTACCCAGAGTTCATCTTGCATTATGTACTAAATTGGTGGTTGTGACATACTTCGTATACTTTCCAGCACATATGAATCTGTCAAGTTTCTTGTATATAAGATGTGCTGATGCTTCAGTCTTGATGGTATTTCGGTTACAGCATGCTCTGTTTGTACTTGGAAGGTTGCCCATCTGTAGCTTATGTACCTTATTGTTTCCAAATATAACTTCTATCAACTTAAAAGTCCCCTGGGGTGTTATGGTCATGCACATCTCTCTCTCTTTCTCTCTCACTTATTCCTAGGTGCCAATTATTTCTACATTTTCTATTATTATCTCACCAAATCAGGTGGTCTAGCCCCAAAAACATAGGAGGGCTTTCTGATTGGACAATTTCAGATCATATTTGACTAAAGTCATGAGTCATGACCAATTCCCTAAAAAAAGACAATAAAGCTAAATTAAAATAAAAGTTTCAAGCTCCTAAGATCCCATCTGTTGTCCCTCAAATGGATAATTCTTAGTTAATATTTGAGGGGGAACTAATTTGGAGTATCTTCTTAGCCGCAAATCAGTTTACTTTTGGGATTTTTAAGAGAAAATATGTGAAGTATTTTATCTAAGAAAAATGATATCATCATCAATATTATTATCCGACCCTGATCCCAACTATCTAAGACAAAGGATATCCTAGGTTTAAACTAAAGGAATAGGATATCCCCATGAGACTAATTTAGAGGGAAATTGATCATGTCGCCCCCTTTCATCTATCTATTGCTATTCTCCTTCAAATATTCCTCCAATTCAAAGGGCCCAAAATATGCACTGCTTTTTCCGTATAAGGAATGAAAGAAAAAGAAAAATATTGCTTGGGTGGGTAGAGAGAAAATTGTAGGATGAAAGACTTGGTCTTGGAGTCTGGAAACTAAATCTTTTGTCTAGAGGCTGTGGAGTGTTTCTACAGTATATGTTCAACAAATTGGTGGCCAAATGCTTTCCAACAAACCTTGCGTCAATGAGTTTCAAGCTCCAGAGCAAGGTTGATGAAAACATTGTTTGGAGGTTTAAAAAAAACCCAAAAAAAACGGACATTTGATTGATAATTTTTCATTAATGTCTAACTTGCCCTAGATTAATCCCATGGTGAGAAGCATGCATGATTAGCCATGGTGGGCAAGAAGGGGACCAGTTCTGCATTCCCCAAGGACTTGGGCAGCGCCTCTAGACAAACACAGACACATGTGGTACCAAGAACACCTGACTAGACAGCATGGTGAAGAGGAATTTCTCCATGGTCCATTTCTCTGCTATAGCCAGGAGCCCCAACTCTAAAACAGCTAGTGGTTGTCAAGGGAAGCAATCATCAGAGAGAGAATAGACTTGCTCCGAGCCTACTTGCTCACCACATTGACTCCAAATGTTGTTCTCAACAACCTAAAAGTTTCGGCTGCAGTGGAAAACATCTGAAGTGGTCACTTGCAAATATCTGGGCAACGGCGACATTATGTTTATCCTTAACTCAAAAATGTGGCGGAGTGTGTCCTAGGGTCGGGGGCCAGAGTGTTTCCTGCTGTGGCTCTTCTTGCATTGTTTTGTGGCCCTGTCAGGATTGAAGGTCAACATGTCCAAGATCAAATGGACGGGTATTCAGTATCATATTAAACCATAAAAGGCTTCGTGAAGAGAGTATCCCAGATAAATGTCTTGGTTTGTCCCTCTACCTGGGCAAGCCGCCACCTAAATCACAATGAGGCAGGGTGATAGAGAGATTTTAGAGAAAACTTGCAGTCTGGAGACCTAATTTCTTGTCCTTGGGAGGAGGATAACTCTCATTCAAGCAACCCCATCAAAATCACCGTACACTACTAGTTTCTTAGTGTCTTTTGCTATTGTGAATAAGATCGAGAATATGATGAATAGATTTTTTATAAAGTTATTTGAGAAAATGAAATTACATTTGGTCAAATGGGACTTTGTTTGCGGGCTTAGAAAAGCTAAGGTGGCTTGGCGATTTTGGTGAAACAAAGAAACCAACCAGTCTCTTCTAAGAAAGTAGTGGTGGAGGTTTGGGGAACCTTGGACCAATTGTTTAAAAGTGGGGGCTTACAAGTGTGGAATGGAGCATCAATGATGGTTTTTGAAACATCTGAGAAGGGGGCCCGAGACCTCTGATGTTTGGGAAGGAATAGATCGGATGAGAGAGAGCTATAGGATTAACACAGGATGCTGATCAGAGATGGTAAAAGAACTCTTTTTCTCGAGGGATATGTGGCTGCACAATACATCACTAAAAAAGTTCTTCATGTGGCTATTTGACATTGTTACAGATCAATATGTAACATGTGCCAGACGCAGCACTGTGTTTCGGCTCAAGGACAGTGCGGTCCCATGCTTTAGAATGGGCCCCAAAAGAGGAGGAGGTGATCCGCTTTGTCAACATGTTGTCAGAGCTTCAAACTGCCTTCTACATGCCTATGAGAGAGGATTGGTTACTGTGCACCCAAACACCAAAGGCGAGGTCACTGTGAAATCATTCTATAAAAAATGACATGGATGCCTATTGGAAAACTATTGGGGGATTGCCCACCTAAAAGTCTAGTTTTTGGGTGTCTGGTCTGAAAGTCTTAACCATTGATGACCTTAATGCATTGAAGTTGTTTCCAAATTGTTGCACTGTTGTGCAAAGATGCACATTCATATTGATGCTGTTTGGGGACAGTGGATGCAGCCTGAGTTGGTTGAATCCCTATTAAGCAATTGTGTAGGCTCCAATATCTGAGGCTTGGCCTTATTGGAGTTCATATTTTATTTCTTTGCTTTGGCAAATTTGGCTCAAAGTGCAATATAAGATTATTCAAAGGTAAGCTGCATAGTGTCATATGGCTGAAAGGCCGAGGTAAAACTGCCACAAGGTCTTGGGCTTTGTCTAAGAGAGAGTTTAGGGGTACTTGTTTGATCTGGAGTCTCAGTGGCAAATTGTATCAGGGCTTCACAAACCAGGGAAACCAAAGCGGCTAAATGAAAGCCACCTGTTGAAGGAACAATCAAATTTAACGTTGATGGCAGTGCTGAAGGTTGCTTGGGAGTTTAGAGGGGACTTTTGGAAACACTTGGGAAGAGTGCTCAAAACTTTTTCAGGTCTCAACCTAGAAAGTGTTCCCAATGAAGCTGAACCTCATGTCCTGGTAGTGCTATATTGTTTTGCACCATATTGGAGAATTGAGACAGACCCAAGAATGTTATTACAAGAATGTTATTACATCTGTGCAGGCTACACACGGCGATTGAGTAACATTTTTGACAAGGCGTTCACTATTACCAAGAACCTTATCAGATTGCTTGGAGAGGGGCCAAAAAGGTTGCTGATTCACATGCTAAGGATGGCGTTCATAAATCATTTGTTTCAGATTTCCAAATTCATGTTGGAAGGGCCGAATTTGTTTGGGGCCAATATTTTTATCCGATTTTGACTGAATAAAATACTGCCAATTATTAAAAAAGAAAAGAAAAAGAGTTAAAGTGGTTGAGTGGGTGTTAGGGTGGTAGAGTTTGCGAGAGAGAGAGAGAGAGAGAGGGATGGAGAGTTGGGTTGCAGGAAGTAAGAGAGATGTGGGGAGGGTTGGGGTGGTAGAGGAGGGTGGGCAAGTGTGTTGTGGCAGTGTTTGACAGAGAGGGTAGAAAGAGAATGGATTAGATAAAAAAGGAGATGGGGGGTGGAATTAGAAAGCGAGTGAATTAGAGAAAGAGGGGATGAAGGGTTGGGATTAGTGTTACCTAGACACATCAAAATTTGTTTGGTATCGCGGTCGACACGTATCGATGCTTAGACACATGTCGACACGCATAGACAAGTTATCGACGCTTGACCGTACGTGTCTGATGGCATCAGTTATTGAGTACGTATTAACACGGTATATATAGTGCCTGCCCTTTGTAATCATATAATCCATGATGGTTTTGGTGGTAGAGAAACGCTTTAGGCAAGTGAGGGTATGAGTTCCATTCCCCACAATAGAACCATTTTTTTGTTATTTGTTTTTGAGCTTTCTTATATTATAAAAATACAAAAACCATTACCCCTCCACAGCTTGAACCTGGGACGTTTTGAACATGGAACAATGAGCTACCATAGAGCCCCATCGGTGTTAGCGCATTGAATGGACATCATTTTATATAC